TCCATCTATCCTTTTACATGAAAACCCAAATGGAAAAACAAATTAGAAAGGATCGATCATGGTAGGAAAAAAAATGGCACATCTTGTTCTTCATCCCATTTTTCCTAGGAGGTTTTTATAATGAAATAGGGGAGAAAAAACAAATTTGAGCTGCATTCTTCAAAATAATAAAACTCAAAGTTAACGTTATATAGAGAGTAATTGGCCTTTTACTTATTGAATATTTTTGTTAAAGATTTCTCTAAATTTTAAGAACACAAGTTAAGAATGTAATTATTGTATTTTTTTTTATCATTGATTGACATTAAAAACATAAAGGTTGATATTAATTTTACCACCAATACTACATGGATCATTTTAATTGAGCAATCAATTAAATAAATATCAATTTTTATTTTTTTTAATACTAATTAATGATAAAAAGTACAATAATTATCTCCTTAACATGTGCCCTTAAAAAATCTTTTAATTGGGTTTGTATTTTTTATATTAACTTTGAAGGGTTTTGGGTATTTACTATAAATTACTTCAATATTTATTTATAATAAGATTATTAAAGAATGTCAAAAATTACTTCGTCTTGACATTAAAAATATCATGATGTCTATTTATAACCACAAGATGGATATAATATAATCTAACTCTCACATAAAATTTATCCATTATGCTATTGAAATTGAACATTTTGACATTTTTAATGTTAGGTCCTACTTTTCATTTTTATGTTACTTATTTTGCCATTGTTTTTTGACTTTGAGTTTGTCTCAAATTAATTGTCATTTTTTTATTTTTTACCATAGATAAATACTTTCTCTATTCCAAAATAATAGTCGTTTTTTTTATTTTGAGCCTGTTTGTCCTAAATTAATTGTCATTTTTTATTTTTTGAAATAGACAAATATTTTTTCCTACTTTAATCCTATCATTGTCCATTTATTTTAATTAATTATTTTATCAGAAAAAATATCTCTTTATCTTTAGCTTTTTCTTAAGAGTAATATATGTAAACATATAAATTGTCCCCAAATCCTTAATTTGGAAAAAATTCAAAAAATACAGTTATTTTGGGATAGAGAAAGTATAATTTTTATTTTTGAAGGCAAATAAATATTTTTT